AGAACTCCGTAATATAGTACATCGCAGTCTACCTGTGGGTGGTATAAAATTATAAGTACTCAAACCATTGGTCAGGGTTAATTGGAACTGGCTGGGGTTTTCTGTTTCTAAATCTATTTATTGCTCCCCAAAATGTTTTGGAATCACAGACATTGCCCAAATCGTCCATGGCACTACGCTCAAATTCAGACCGCTTCCACTTAATTAATTTTTTTCATTTCTATTTCGCGGAAAAATACTTATCAATAGAATTATTATGATAACGATTTTTCACCATTAATTTCAATTCGGACTTATCATTTTTTTTAGCCAATGATCATTCAATGTCAAACCAAGGCTTACTTTTTTTTTCATGTCTGTTGTGAAGTTTTATTTCTATTAGTCCACTTTACAGCTAAAATTGATTATCTTGAATCATTTCAATGGATTCAGAGTTTACCTGGGAACCTACTCGAGGAGAATTCATAATTATTTGATGGTATAGTAAATTTTTTTAATTATCTCATTTGACTATAGTAGAACCGTGATTTGGTTTATTTAATGAAGTATTGAGGGTATCATTTGGGGAAAAAAGGAGCGTTGTCTCTATAGGGAAGTGTTTTGAACCAGAAACTATATGCTTTATTTTTAGATCGGCTATTGAATTTATATACCTGTTAATTGCTCCACACCATATCAACTACACTTTTTCCATTTGAGGTAATATTAGTAGGTTTATCACTAACAGATCTACCATTTAGAAGAAGAACAAAAGAATTATTCTCCATGAATTCGACTAATGTTTCTCCCTTTTTATTTTTAACAATATCCAGGCTACGTCGAATATGGGATAAATTAGAACCATTAAAAGCCTCAAAATCATCCTGATTCAAATCAGCTACCCTAGAATTAAAATCCCCAAAACACAAAAACAAATTATAAGAATATTTAGTTTCTAATTTAATAAGAGTGGGCTCAAATAACTCCAAAACAAGACCTATATTCAGAGACTACTTAAAATAGACTAAAATTATGATAAATACATTAGTTCCATGAGTTTCTTTAACATAGGCACAGATCCATTATTCACTTATATCTAACACACCTTTAGTGTAAACATTTGTATCATAAAATATAATCAGACCTCCACTGCCTCTTCCTCGACTCTTCTCCCTAATGGCATCGGATGCAATAAAACTGAAATCTGAGATAGCTGTGGGTGCCGCCACTGGTCTTTTGAGTAAGTGCGTTTCGCAGAGGCAAATTATAGTTGATGAATTAAAGTGTCTATTTTCTTCACTGAAGTTCTTGTATCCATCTACGTTCCAGAAAAAAATTGTGCTTTGATTTTGACAATTAGAAACGGTTTCGGTTGTAGATAGTTTCTCCCAAGGTTGTGGTCAAGATGTAAATTGTTTACATTTAGATCTTTTATTTCGAGTTATGCGTGGGTTGGGTGAGTTTTCGTGAGATGGCGGGAAAGAACGCTTCTTCTCATTTATATCTTCCTTTCTAATAAATTCTTCAGAATCGGTATCATAAGATTGATCATTTGTGTTTTTCAATAAAAATAAGTCCGATTCACTTTGGATGGGTATCTTGGTAGAGCCTTCCAGATATCTAACATAGATTTTACCATTTCTGTGCCATGAGAATTTAAAATGTCCTCTCTGTAGTGACCTTGCTTTAGCAAATAAAATTCATTTGTCAGAAGTTCGTTGATAAATATTTTGTAATTTCTTTCCTAATTTTATTCAAATTAAATTCACAGTTCAGTAAAGTAGGCCTTTTATTCAAAACAAATTTAAAGTTCAGTAAAGTAGGTCTTTTATTCAAAACAATTCCAAAGTTCAAGGATTAACTTTAAACAAGGATTAACGTAAGTATTAACGAAGTCACTATTTGTTCTTTTCTGCAAATTCCTGGAAACTGCTTGACTTCCTCAAATACTTAACAAAAGCATTACATCTACTATTTATAGTATATTTTTGAAAAACGTTGTTATTAGCCAAAATACGATTATTAGACTATAAATATATAATTTTTACAAAAAAAAAAAAAATTAATTTTTATTACTCTGGAGCCCCCAGATATGCAATAAACGACGTAAGTTATATTAAAAAAAAATAATTAATATGCGAAATACAAATATCAGCCCAGAAATAGATGATCTTTATATAACCTCTCATAACCTACCAGGCAATTTCCTCTTTTAGGTACAGCAAAACATCGCTAATATGGCAACAAAAAAAAAACTATTTAATCATGTCCGGAGGACCAAAATGTTTAGGCAACTTTTCTAATGAAGACAAATAACTCTCATGAGTTTTTTAATAGTCAACATTTTACTTTTATACAGTGGACTGTATTTTAATGGATTGGTAGATTATACTGATAGTGCAAAAATAGCTTACCATCTTTATGCCAGCTTACATCTCTTCATTACCTTGAGGGCCCTCAAGTGCCATTGTTGTGACCAGAGTGGCTGCTAGTGGAGAAGTGCCGCGAGAAACCAGCAGGTCTTGAGGATTAAGTGTTATCTTTTAGATCTTTTAATCTGCCCCCACCACTCGCCATAACACGGGAAATTCAAACTATTTTCGGCACAAACACCAATCTTATCCAGTTTTCCTACAATGTCCCGCTCCCATTTTTCTCTTCCCGAACTACATCTTTCTGAAACCTCAATTCTCCAACGTATGAAACCCTCTCCCATGATATCGATACTATTCAATGGGACTCTATTTATCACTTAAACTCCATTGATACCATGGCAAAAACCCTTACCATTCACCTTGATACCATCCTAGACCGTCATGCTCCTCATATAACAAAAACAATCTGACATCCCCCTGCTCCTTGGCTAATACCCGCTCTGAGAGAATGTATGAGAAGAAGAGATGCTGCGAAACAGCGGTTCCAAAGAACTCGCCTTCCTGAAGAATATCTCTCCTTCAAATAACTCCGAAACAGCGCTCAATCTGCAATGCTCTGTACCTAATCCCTTTATTTCCATCAATCTCTGTCCAGCTCTCCATATTCCAAAGCCAAGTGGACTATCTTCCATAAATTGTCCTTAGGTAAACTCACCCAAACCCAGTCTATCCCTATTTTAGCTGATGTACTCAATACTTACTTTGTCTCCTCCCCTCTCCCATTCCTCTTTCCAGCTCTGGTTCTCATTCTTTCCTCCTTTAATCCCAATCATTTCTTCTTTTCCCATATTACTCCTGGTGACCTCCTTAATTGCATTTGTAAATCCCAAACTCATGATTTTGGACCAGACAACATCCCAGTTAAATCGATTAAATCCTCACTTCCCTCCATTCTCCCTATCCTTTATCATTTATATAACTTCTCATTGCAAAGTTCCACTTTCCCCAGCACCTGGAAATCTGCTTGTTCGTCCACTGAATGAACCCTCCAATCCTGCTACCCCTAATGATTTCCATCCAATTTCCTTATTATCTAACCTTTCCAAACATCTAGAATGATTAATTCAATCCCACTATCTCGAGCAAAATAACCATCTAAACTACCACCAGTCTGATTTTAGATCTGACTACTCTACCCATTCCGCCATTATTAAAATCTCTGAAGATCTCCACACCAACAGAAACTCACCATCCTTATTCTCCTTGATTTTTCCAAAGCCTTCGCTTCAGTTGATTACAATATTCTTCTTACCAAACTCAAAAATATCTCCTTGTCTTCTAGTGCCCTTAATTGGTTCCAATCGTTCCCAGTATATTGTAGTTCCTAATAATTCTCCATCAGATTCTCTATCCTTCTTCAGAGGCATTCCCTAGGGTTCCTCCTTATCTCACACTCTTTTTTCCATCTATATCAATGTCCTTCCATCCTCTATCATGCATTGTCAATACCACCTGCTGATGATGTCTTAATTTATCTTTCCTTCGATCCAGCTGATTCTAATGCAGCAATCCCACAATGTCAGGAAGATATAGATAAAATCTGTGCTAGGGCAAACCGCAATAGGCTCACCCTAAATGCTGAGAAGACGAAAGCTATCCTGTCCGGATCCTCCACACTCATCAAATCCAATCCTGTACCTCCCAATCTTTTCCTGAACAACTCGCCTATTTTGTTTCGTACTTCCGTTAAAAACCTCGGTGTTATTTTTGATCAAACCCTCTCCTGGAAACCACACATCTCCCGAATTTCCTGTCATACTATTTCTAACCTGAAACAGTTCAACCATCAACGCTATCTCCTCCCATACAAAATCCGTCAACTCCTGGTTTCCTCTCTTTTTTTCCCCCACATCAACTCAAAGCCAAACTTACAACTAATGAATTGCTCAATATGTTTTGTCTTTAGGATCTCAAGAGATATGCATATTACCCAGTATTACACCGAGTTGAAGTGGCTCTATCCAGTCTACCGCTATCAGTACTTCCTTGCTACCTTTCTATATACCAGGCCATTAGAAATCAGCGATCCTCCTGTATTCTTTAGAGCCTACAATTCAAATCCTCCATTCAATCCCGTCCAATCAGATCCTGTTCTTTTAACTACTATCCTCCTCCTCACCGAACTGCTGCCTTTAGAAAATCCTTTGTAATTCAAGCCGTCTCTTTTTGAAATTCTATCCCTCCCAATATCCGACATGCAAAATCAGTTTCCTCATTTAAATATCTCCTCCTGAGTGTGCTAAACAATGTAATATTAAACAATTCTTGATCACAGATTTGCTTAATGATATAAATTATGGAATTTAATCAGTCACGAGAATAGAAGCAAAATATTCTGAGTGGCAATAAGGCTTCCTGTGTATTGCAGAGCTTTTATTCTTCTTAAGGGGATTATAATCCCTAACTAATAATTTATAAAATTATTATTTTTGTCAAATAAAAAATCCATTAATTGATATTTAATGAAAATCTAATCAAAACATGTATAATGTTAATCTATCAAAACACTATACCTTTATTCCTCCCTACTTAAGCCCTCGAATATTGTGTACAATATATGATAAATGTTATATTATTTTGTTTTAGATTAAAGCGTATGAGCATGAGTTAAAAGACACCAAACAACGCATAATTTCTTTAAATGCAGTTGTAGAAGAGTTAAAATCTGAAAACCAAGCGTTAAATACTGAAAGAGAACAGCTCACTGGTCAGGTAAAAAAACTTAGATTAGAAGAAGCCTTTGTTGCTGATTTTTTATTTTTATATCTAATTTTTATGTTCTTGTGTTTTGTTATTATATTTTACAATCCCATTTTACCAGTTTAAATGATAAGCTCACAAGACAGTTTTTTATCATAAACATCCTGTATGCATTTAAACATTCAGGAGTTTCATACCCTTTACTGTACAGTACTGTTTATTATCATATTAATTGGAAACAAGTTTGATGTTTATGCCAAAAAATGACTCTGTCTTTACCTGAAATATTGTAATTTCTGTCTGAATAAATGTTTTGATTAGTTAAGTAGCTGATGTCAAAATTATGGCACTCTTTGCAAAGCATTGTTGGTAGGGATATTATGGAATCATTTTATTTGTTTTATTAAATTAAATGTAAATTTAAAGTCATAGTAATGAATAATATTCTGTCCATTATTATGATTATGAAGGAAATGAAAGAGCAAAAATGAGTGAGACAAAGCTAATGATTATTATCAAATCATTTCTACCATTAAAAATCAATTGGAACTTCTTTATTCATCAGGAGGTTCAATGAAATCTTCAAAAACTGTCCCTCCACTAATGGTTGAATACAGACACTCTTCAGCAAAATTTTGAAGGAAGAAACCTACTTCCCAAAAGTTTCAGCTTCCTCTCTGATCAGAGATTTGTCCCTATCCTTCCTTGTGTGCATGATTCTAGGATTTAAAAATTTTAATCCTTCATTAAGCAGTTTTAAGAAGGCTCTACTATTTTCTCCTTGAAGGCAGTTGGCAGTTTCTATATCTGCCATAGTTTTGTTTTCCCACTGCTCTTTCTTTTGCGAAAATGAACTTCTCTTCTGACTCAATATTCTTCCACATGCTGTCTAATATGTTTATTTTGGCCTATTACCTATTACCTCCTTCACAATATCAATCATAGATATTTCACGTTCTTTTAGTTTCTAGTAGTCGGGAATTCCGAAAAAATTAAGAATATATCAGGAATTCTCTGTAAATTTTACTAGTTTTGACAAAGTCATCATTGGTTCTAAACTTTAATTTTCATCAACTGTGGTTTAGTTAATGTTGGCTATTTATACTTTATTATAATCTTAGTCATTTATTTATTTATTTTTTTTTGTCCTCCTGAGTGAGGGCGGGAATTCAAAAGATCCCCAACAAACTCGTGACTATTTTTATCCAGTTATTTCATGTATCAGATTGCTGGACAACGGCGGTGCCGTGCATGCACGTTAACCCATTCGGCCACCCCGCCCCTAAACATGGAACGTTTCAGAGTTTTGCTTGTCATCCTTGTGCAGGGGACATGCTAATCTTCTCTGTATTGTACCAATTTTAGTATATGCATCCTGAAGTGAGTACTACTGTCACTTACCAATGAAATATATAAAAAAAAAAAAAAAAAAAAAAACCTGTACCACTACAACCCATGAAGGGTCTGGGGTTCAGTACTATTTAGGGAAAGCACTGTTTCTAGGTCAACGGTTGTGCAAGTAGGTGATTTGACCGAGATCACGATCAACTGCCAGGTTTTCCCCCTTAATTAATTACTTAATTAAGGGTACCCACTTTATAGAGGCTGGGTGTGCCCCAGGAGAGACTCCTGACCCAAGGTCGCCCCACGGCCAATGAAACAGATAAATAAATTTTCTGCCATGAGCCAGGGTTCGAACTCGGGACCTTTGTATTGGAAACTCAGTGCCCTACCACTGAGCTACCCCGCTCCCTAATGAAATATATAGCAAGGGAAAAATTTGATCGTGAAAAATTTTGGATTTGACTTTTCTGTGGAAATTCACGTTTTGAGGTTCCTTGAGTCCAAAAATTCCAAGTCTAGAAAAATGGTGTGTGTGTGTACATGTGAGCAATCTAGCTCAAAAAAACGAAAAGTTGAACAGAACTGAAATTGCATATTTAAGGTCTGTATATGCCTGGGAAGTTACAGAAACAAATTCGTAAGCCAGTAAACCAGAAGTGGCACTTGATATCATCAATTTCACACATTTTCTCAAAAATGGCTCTAATGATTTTGATTTAACTCCTTATGCTAATGTACAATTAAGTAATTTTTAATATAAGGTCAGTTTTATTCTCATTGATGTTCTCCAACAAAGCTTCAATACCTTCTTCTCTCACTATCTTCTGTATGCTGCTAAGCGTGGAGTGGCTGCCTCTGACCATCCTGTCCAACGGTCCCTGTCCTGTGTAAGCCTTCTCATCTCCGGTATGGTGCTTCCTCTCGCTGTGCCAATTCTCTCTATCAGGTCTGCATACATAAGCCTTGATCTGCCTTGAGGTCGCCTTCCTCCCAGTCTTGCTTCTAGAAGCCACTCCTGGCCTTACGGTCATCTCCCATTCTATTAACATGCCCGTACCACTTCAACTGCCTTTCTTCAATCGTCTCTAGGACGGATCTAACTCCTAGTTCATCTCGCACCCTTTCATTCCTTATTCGATCTCGCCTGGTTTTTCCCAATATTTTCCGTAGGAATCTCATTTCTGCAGAGACAATCTTGCTGGCATGGCGGTCCAAGAGTGTCCAGCTCTCAGATCCGTATCCGTATAGCAGCACTGGAAGAAAAACTGATTTAAATAGCAGAATCTTCGCTTTTCTGCTCAACTCCTGCTTTCCAATGACTGTCATGGATATTTGGTAGTATATTCCATTGGCCTTTTGGACTCTATTCAAGACCTCCTGATCTATTCTTCCATCCCTGCCAATTACTGTTCCCGGGTAGCAGTAGGTATCAGTTTGCTCAAGGGTCTCTCCATTGCAAGTGATTCTAAGATCCTCGTTCCTTCGTCCGACACACATGATCCTGCTTTTGGAGGGATTGATCTGCATGCTTCTAGTTGCAGTTCTTCTTGCCACTCATTCACAGCAACCTGGAGCGATTCAGCAGTATCCGCAACCAATACCACATCATCTGCGTACAACAATGCCTGTGTCAACACTGGGGTCATATTCCAGTATCCCACTATTGCTCTGGGTGTCCTCCTTTTGCAAAATTTCCAAATGGCATCCATGAAAATTATGAACAGTAGGGGGCTCAGGCTATCACCTTGTTTAACTCCCCTAAAGAAATGGAATGACCTAGACTCAGTGCCAGCTAGCCTTATTACTCCCTTAGGGTCTTGGTACACTGACTTAATTGCACTAATAAGATTTTGTAGGATTCTCCTATCTTGCAATGCATCCCATATTTCCTGTCTAGGAACATTGTCGAAAGCATTGTAAATCTAGAAAAGCTAGGTATACTGCTTTACCTCTATCCCATGCCTTCTCTACAATCATTCTCAGAGAGAAGATATGATCTTGTGTCTGCCTGCCGGGTCTAAACCTTGCCTGTTCCTCTTCCAGATCTTCCACCAAGTTCCTTAATCTTTGTTCCAGGACTCTAGGGTATACTTTGCATACCACCGATGACAGACATATGGGTTGGTAATTATCACATACATTTTGGCTTCCCTTCTTATGGATTGGGATAATGATGTTGTTTTCCCATTCTATGGGTATCCTTTTGAGATCCCAAATCTTTTGGAATAGTGTTTGGAGACACTTGACCAACTCATTTCCTCCATAATAATCCCATCTGGCCCAGCTGCTTTTCCCATCTTTACTTTAGCAATGGCTGCTTCGACTTCCTCCTCTTCTATGGTATCATCCATGTCGGAGACTTCTGGTTCACATCTTCTATGACAATCTCGAAAATTTCATCGCCTTTCTTCCCTTCTGAATTTTTCTTGGAAGTATTGGCATTTAAGCTTAATACTTCCAAGCTTAAATGCCAATTTTCCAAAATTTCTTCCTTCAAGTACCTTTTATATCACTTATTTAAAAAAAATTAACTATTTCACACTGTAACTAATGAATAATAATGGTTAAATATAAACATTGAAAAAAAAATTGATTATTAACTAAAGGCGAAATAAGGAATTGTAATGAAAGATTCGAGTGCGCACTCAGGATAATAGGAAATGTGGAGCCGAGAACTGCTGAAGAAACCCTAGTGCATCTATGATTTTGATGAAAGGTCAAGAGAGTCTTCTTAACATAACACGTGTGTATTAATATTTCATAGGTAAGCTACATACGGGTTCCGATATTATTTACCTTATACTTGTGCAGTTCTCATAAATGCTAGTGCTGGTATTATTAAATATTTAATTGTATAGATTACAGTAATATAAAAATTAAAATTTGTGTGTATATTATATATATATATAGCAGAGATCTGGGGGACGAGATACCTGGAGGTTTTGGAGAAAACGCAAGTTCGATTTATCAAATCATTGCTCCATTGGCCAAGAAATACACCGAACTATGTGGTTCACCTTGAAAGTGGGAGATCTCCATTAAGTGTTGAAAAAAGTGATCAACTATTGGATAAAGCTAACCTTAATGAATGATGAAAGGCTACCTAGACAATGCTTTAATAGGCTTAGAGCTCTAGACTCATCCATTGGAAAACCTGATCCAACTTATAACTGGGTTACCCAAGTAAAGATGATTGTGGCGGAAATTGGATGTCAGGGGCTGTTTTCTCTCAAGGTCTGATGAGGTTCAAAGATGAAATCATGGAAAAAATAAGAAACCATCACGCATCCAAGGACATCGACAGAGTGTTAAACTCTAAATCAAACCCAAGATATAGAAAAATCTGATCCTTTAATGTTACCAAACCAGAGGATAATCTTCAGTTCAGGGCTCTGAATTAAAAAAAATTAAGAGCCGTTAGTCGTCTCAGAGTAGCAAATAAAGATTTTATGAAAATATACTTGAAAGATGCTACTTTGACTATTAAATCCAGTGAGGTGTGTGGTGCATGCAACTGCCTTGTAACTGACCCGGTAACTCATTTTCTGATCCAATGTATCAAGTTCAACGAGCCGAGAAATAAGTACTTGAAGGCATTTATCACTGAATCCAGAGAAGATGCTAGTGTGGAGGAGATACTGAAAATAGACACTACGAAAAAAATAAAC